GTTCCAAAGCAGCATTTTACATGGGGATAAGTCCCAGCTTTGCTCCTCAATTCTCGCAGAACACAGACTCCATCTCATTGCCCTCAGAGAAGGTTTTTGTCCCAAGAATTCTTTCAACAGTTCTTTCAACTTACTCAGAGCGTGACCTCTGAAGATTGAACAAAAAATACAAGCTACCTCTGCCCCACAAGAAACTGTCATCTCTAGCATGGGTATTTTCAGAACATGCTGGAGAAAAGCAGTCCTGCTATGTCTTTCCTGCAGGGTGTTTTGGTTTTGTTTTGTTTTGTTTTTTTTTTTTTTTTTTAAGAATATGTTCACTCTTCCCAAGCGTTTGTAGAAACTTTCATTCAAATCAGCATTTCAATTGAAAAGCCAAGAACAATTGCATAGCAGCTTTTAAGGAAATACTGGAGATTCACTGTGTTGTGTGCTTACTTCGCAACTGTCCAAACCTTACAATGCTACATTTCTCTTTTGAGTGAAAAATCCACTAAGAATCATGATGGCCACCTTCAACTTTCACATTCAGACACACCACATACATTTGCCCAATGCTAGCCCCCAGTGACTGAAAAAAGGGAAACATCACTTCCATTTTCAAGAAGAGGGAAAAAGAAGACCCAGAGAACCACAGGCCAGAGAGCCCCACATCTTTGCCTTCAAAGACTACGGAGCAGAGCCTCCTGGAGATCTTATGATACACATGAGATATAGAGGTGATCTGAGACAGCCAGCACAGCTTTACAAAGGGCACATCCTGCCTGACCGATCTGGCAGCCTTCTACGATGGAGTGATGACACTGGTGGAAAAGTAGAAAAAGAAGGACAACTACAGCCACCTACCTGGACTTGTGCAAGGCCTTTGACATAGCCTGGAACGCATCTCCTCTGAAGAAAGGTTGAGGGATTTGAGCTTGTTTAGCTTGGACAACTTAAAGCTCCAGGGAGACTTCATTGCGGCCTTTAAGTACTTGAAAACAAATTACAAGCAGGAGGGGAATGACTTTTTACATGGTCTGATAGCGGTAGGACAAGGGGGAATGGTTTTAAACTAAAAGAGGGGAGATTCAGGTTAGATATTAAGAAGAAATTTTTTCTCAGTGAGTGGTAAAGTGCTAGAACAGGTTGACCCAAGAGGTTGTGGATGCCCCATTGCTGGAGGCAGCCAGGTTGGATAGGGCCCTTGGCAGCCTCATCTACTGGTTGTCAATCCCGGCCACGGCTGGGTGGTAGGAACTAGATGATCTTCAACCTAAACCATTTTATAATTCTATGATTTTGTGATGTTTTTCACCATCTGTAACAAATGCTCATCCGTCTTAATTTTATCAGAAGTGGAATAAAGGGCTTTCAGTAACACAGTAATACAAATCCAAAAAATAAAGAACATCTCCAAGAACTCAAGTCTCCTTTAACCCTTACGATTTCCTCAGAAAATACTGTGAATGCTCAACCTGTTTTCAGTCTCAGACTTTGATCTGAAGTACTGCTTGAGCTGTTTCCATCAAACAGCTACTTGTTACTTTTGACAATGGTGTATGAGGTCAAAAATAACAGGTTGCAGGGAAGAACAGGGCCGCTGACAGTAAAGTGATTCACTTACATTTTTCCATCAGAATTGAATAAAGATTCCATTCTTCAGATTTTTTCTCTTGCGTTTTCCTGGGATAATCACATAACTCTAACTCTTAACACGTTAATTTTGAAAGCATTTTATGTCTAGCATCATTACAATCTCAGAAAACTTGAAAAGTTATTTTAAGGCAGAAAAATCACATATTTTCTGTCCTACAGACAGTGCCAAGACGCACCTACAGGCAATTCCATAACTACCTGTATCTGAGACCGTTTGCCCAATGCAAACACCAAAACTTTCTTCAGAACTGCTCTTGCAGAACACCAGAACAGTCAAGTCAAACGTGCAGCATCAATTCAGAAAAGTTCTTAAGCACTCCTGAACTTTGTGAAATTTAAATAAATGTTTTCAAACATTCTTCAGAGAAAGATGAACATTAGCACACACTTTGTGAACTGTTTCAGAAGTTCTTGTGATATTAACATGAAATTTCACATCTGTAGATTACAAGATAATTTTAATCAAGAGAATTCTTTTCTGGACATCTTACAACAGGATTTTTGTTCTTTGGGTAATTGTTTAGGACTACATTCCTAAACTATTCCTAAAATAGGAATACATTCCTAAACTATTCCTAAAATGTACTGAGTTTCACTGGGATGGAGTCAACTTTCTTAACAGCAGCCTATATAGTGCTGCACTTTGGATCTGCAGCTGCAATAGTGCTGATAACACATCAGTGTTTTGGCTATCATTGAGTAGCGCCTGCAGCGTGTCAAGGCTCTCTCTTCCTCCTCACTCACACTGTCCCCACAGCAAACAGGCAAGAGGTTAGAAGGGGTGGGCTGGAACAGCTGACCCGGCCTGATTGAAGGGATAATTTCATGCCATCCACCATCAAACTTAGCAATAAAAACCGGGGTAGAGGCTTTTTTGTTGTTGTTTACAAGGTTGCTGTCGTTCAAGATAGGCTGGGCCAACTTTCTGCATGTGGAAAGTGGTGAGCCAATTCCCTTTGCATTCCTTGTGTCATTTCCCCTCCTTCTCCCAACCTTCCTTCACCTATTATACCATTTTTATCTCAAACCATGAATCTTCTCACTTTCACCCTTATTTTTGCACTCTGTCCCAACAGTGTGGGGTGGAAGAGACGCTGAGCCACTCTGAGTGCTTGGCTGCTGCACAGGGTGAACCTACAGCAAGTCATACAGAAAACCCATGCCAGGTTACTGTACCACATACTTCTGGGTTTCTGATGAAAAACCTGCCACCAGTATTCAGTGTCTGCAAGATTCCATCATTTCTGTACTTATTTATATGGCACTTCAAATCCAAGTAGCTAAGCTGTAAATAGATAAGGAGTATTTTTACTAAATTATTTTACTGATGGGTACTGAGGAAGAAAGAAACCATAGGAAAACATTTTCAGAATTGACTAGAAGTGTTGGCCTTAATTCTAGAAGGAACATTTGCACACACCTGCTGCCTTTTAATATGGACCTGGAGGTTTCTCAGAGCCAGAAAACCAGCTCTCTATCAGCCTGAGGGATACTGACCTCCTTACCACTGTCACTCCAATTGCACAACTGCTTCTCCAGTGGCTTGCCAGCAACAACTTCCTTATTTTCAGAGCCACAGACCATTATTCTGATGTGAAACGCCAAGCACAGCTGAGAAATTACCATCTTTAATTGAAATCACTGAAAGCCAAATCTGCTCTTCTGAGAAATTCCTGCGTTGTGTAACACTTCAGACAAGGGGAAAAATGCTTCCAAGGTATACTGCTCTCTAGACAGGTCATTTGTTTCTGGCAGTTCAAGGTCTGGCCAGGACCTAATCCAATGATTCACTTAGTTGTAGTAAGTAGTCAGACAAGCAATATTTCAGCACATACTTGGCCACACTCGGGATCAGCAGAAGTGTGGGAAAAACTTTGAGCACCCGTATCTAACTTCTTCCTTTTGAGGAAGTCACACTGCTCACAGCTACCATGTTTGAAATGCTAAATGATTAACTAAAAGACAATCTATTCAGCAACTCCCACTAAGCCTTCCATCACCAAATGCTTTGGCATTTTGTCATGTAGAAACTACATTAGAAGAAGTTAAAAAGAAATTCTTAAGAAAGGAGAAGTACTGCAGAAATATGGTATATGCAGGACATGTAAGGACATGTGCAAATGAGTCCTCCTTCTGCCTTTTATAATAACACCTGAGCATTTCACAAAGCTCAGTACAAGATCTATTTATGCTCCCAACATCCATGCTCAAGTACAAAAGAATAGTATTGTTATGTCATTTTACTAATATAAAAATGAGGTATTAAGTGACTCACTGAAGATTTCTCAGTAAGTTATTGATTAGGAACACAATCCAGATGTCCTAGGTTGCAAGTAAACTGGAGAACCTTGAGGACATCTGATGAACAGAAAGGCAAGGTGACTAGCCCACTTATCAGGCTCAGAACTGCAGCTTATGCTTTCATAACATGCTGGACAGAGACACACTGATTCCCTTCTAACACAGTAACAGAAGGAATCACCCGGTACCTTTAAACAAAGTGTTTTCTTCAAAACAAGTGTCAAGATGTATTGGGTTCAGGCTACCTCTGAACTGAGACAGTTGCAGAGTCTCAATTTCTCCCCTCCTACACCACTCCTTCCCCCCCCCGCCCCCCCCCTTTTTTTTTTCCTATACCTATGAAGCTGTCTTTTTCTCACCACCCTCTGAACATGATCTTGGACAGAATTAAGTGAGGGATTATTTCCAAATACCAATTGAGCAGAACCTTCTGCTGCAAATCATGCTACACATGTTCACAATAGTTCACAATAGTTCAATTCCAAAAGGATGAGAAGAAGCAGTAGGGCATTAATTCTACTAAGAGACTATTAACTTAGTGACACACAGGGAGAAGCTAAAGGAAAGAAATTTAACTGAAGAGGTGAAAGATAGGCTCCACAAATAAAATAGGAACCAAAGCACCTTCTGTGATGTTTAAATAGTCTGCATTCCCATGGTGAAAGTAACCCCTAAAGTTCCTGGCTTGTTGTTTCTGAACTGATAGAATATACGCATAAATAAACTTTATATTTGTTACTCATCACATAAACGTGCAATACAAAAGTGAGCACACTTAGCCACTAATCTGTATCATTGTAAGAAGTCAAAGCTACAAAGTAAGGAATTAAAATATAAGTTTCCCAGTTGCTGCATTTGTCTTTTCTCCTTTTTGTTTCTTCTTCTGTCATTGCTGTGGTATGTGGCACATTGCACTATGATCAGCTTTAGTAGATCAGGTCAAGAAAGCTGATGAACTCAGCTGTAAAGGATAGGTTGAAAGTGTGACATGAGTTTCTGGCATGTGACTAGGTAACCTCAGTCACAATCATTTGCAAAGAGAAATATGAAAGGTATCTTACCACTGTGAACGCCTCCAGTTTCTGTTCTTATTTGTCTCTTCTCCAGTGGTCTGAATCTCCTGCAAAGACAGATGGAAGACAAAGAAACTTAGCAACTAACTTGATTTTTGTTTACTTCAGTGATCTCTCCTTACAGGGGATGATTTCTTAGGACAGATTTGTTTTAATTGAGAGTATTGCAAGTGTAGTCAAGAATGGATTTAATAACAAGTCTTAGGCAATTGTCTAATCTTGTATGGCAGTGAAAATAAACCCTGTAAGAACTGGTGTGGGCATCTGTCAGCATTCACACACATTGACCAAAGCAGCAAATGGATGAAGGATGCCTATTTTCACAGAACAGTCTCATATTTTAAATTCAATCTAGTCAGCACACTAGAGTAGTACCTTACACTCAAGTACCTGAGCTGTAAATACAGACCTTGGACAATGCAAACTGTTCTACCTAGGAAAGCAAGAGTGCTGTAGGTGCAACAGATAAAGTAACTCACGAGTCACTAATTCAATCTCTCTGAACAACACCAGCATAGTTTCAGCATGACCATCCTCTAATAAGCAACATCATTAACTCAAGAGCACTAAGTGAGCTGAAACAAAGGGAAGCCCAAAGAGCGACACCAGCACTTCACCCACATGACAAGGCCTTTGCTGATTTCCATAGGAATTTTAGAGTAATTCTCCCCCAAGTTAAGAACATGCAATGACACAGCTGCATGCCCATATGCTGATGGATAAAAACTGATTTCCTCGTTTCATTGGTGGGGAAAAAAATAAAGAAACAGAATTAATAGTTACATTTTGTCCTCTTTTCTGTAGAAAGGAGAAGTCAGCCTGCAAACTCAACTACATGAGCAGGATGTTATTCCTAGTTGCCACTTAAGGCACACTGGTCCTTGTTTGCTCGGGAGTAAAATCTGTTCAGCAGCCTCAACCTCACCCCGGAATTATCATGTCACAGTTCTGAACAATCAATCACTGAAACCAGCCTCTCCTAAGCCAGTACAAATGGTTTCCCTTTGCAAGTTGAGTTCTTCCTTCTGCATTCGAAGATATGTGACTATTTCTGTTTGTGCATTTTGAAATCACATTTTCCCAAAGATTACAGCAAAGCAAGGAAGTCCTATCAGAATCACAGGTTTTATTTTAAAATGTAGAAAGTTCTTAGTTGCTTCTGGAAGAGCCAGATGTTTCCTGAAGCACTTCACCCAGAAAAACCCCCCAGAACAAAGGCTCCGACAACCTAGGTCCTAAAGTTCACTGCAATCTAAACACATATTATTGCACGGCTTGCTGAGTCACAGTTATGTTCAAAATAAAAGAGATGGATGGAGCAATTTAAAACATGATGCTTCACTGGAGAAATACAAGTATTCACACACGTCATGATGCTAAAGAGCTGCTCTGGGTGTTGAATCTACACAACGAGCACAGATTTGAGAACTGAAAATGGAGGGGCAGGAAATTTAGGAGGGAAGCATACTCACATGCTTTTGGCAGAATATTCATCCCACGGGCCCTATTGGCAATTTGTTCTTTGATGCAAACAAAGACAAGACTTGAGCCTTTGTTAAAAAAAGACATAAGAAAGGGCCGAAACAAGACTGCATGCATCTCTCTTGTCTAGTGAGCACTTAAATTGAGACTGGACAGTAAAAGGTCTGGTAGCTATTGCATTTCTTATGCAAAAGAATGGGTCTATCTCCTTCCATTAACATCTGTAGTCTGCAGGTGGTATTTTTAGGATTTTAAAAGATCAAAGCATGCATACTATTGTACTAAGAAATCACAGCTATTCTTTTTTCCCCAGCATAGCACACTCCCTGCGAAACATCAGTTTTCTCCCTCAAGCCACGGTGAGGGAGAGATTCCTTTCCAACTTCAGCGGAAAATTAAAATCTGGAAATCAAACAAGTGGAAGTCTACAACTTCAAATACAGACACACAGATTTTCTTCCCTGATCAGTGACTTCTGACTATTTCCACCCTTGTGAACTTCACAAAATACTGATGACTAAAGTGACAGATAAACATAGAAGTCTACCCTTAATGCGGCCTCAGGTATGAAATATGATCACTGTATGAAATTATTAAGTTAGAATTACACTTCTAGTACTTTGAAGGCTGTTACTTTTGAAGACTATTTTAAAAGACAAAAACACAAGCAAAAAACTGAAGTCAAAAGTCTTTGTTTTGCACTATTGTACCATAAAAAAGACAAAGTAACCAAGACAGCTACATAACATATGTGAAATTTACAAAAAAATAAAACCCACAATGTTTTATCAGATGTTGGAAAGGTTCTTTCTCCAAACATTATATCTATCAAGTTTGACCAAATGAGATGCAATACCTTTAAGAAAAAAAAATTATAAGGGCTATCTCTCCATAATTCATTATCTTCTGATCCACCATTCTGTCCTCATTCTGTGTTCCACAACATATTACTAAAGAAAACATTATGTGGGAAATAATGACTCTAGGGAGACAAAAGAAAATTAAGAGTAAACATACAACAGTTAAAAGGAACCTTATTTTCTTTGATAATATAAAAGTGAAATACTATAGCTTGAAGTCTGCAAATGTTTAAGGTAATTTCTCAAAAGGAAAAGGTCAATTCTTGTATTTGTAGGTTAAAGTGATTTTGTATTTTCAGACAAAAATAAGACCCTCAAGTAGGAAACAATGACGTAATTTTGCAGATGAAACAGACACTTCAGGAACAGTGCCCCATATCCCTTAGTAGCAAATCCATACACATGACAAAGGCCACATGTGTGGAAGAAATACCATTAAACTCCCTCTCAGAACCTTAAAAAAAAAAAAAAAAAAAAGCCAGAGAAAAGAAATAAAGAAATCACGGAAGAAATAAGAAGTAGATATTCAGATATCACACCCCCAGACCTCATATCAGCGAGGAGTAAAAGCGCCAACACCAAACATAAGCCAAAAGAAAAGCAGCAGGAGTTGGCGCTCGCCACAGTTTTACAACTTTGGAGAATATACAAATAAATCATAAATCACTTAAATCTTTTCCACACTGAACTCTGATCTCTTTAACAGTTGCTCAATCCTGGTACTAATGTGACACATCACACACACGAACACCAGAACCAATTACTAATACAACGTAGACCAAAACGGTGGTCTTTAGAGATGTGCACCTCGATAGTTCAAGAAAGCAGACCCAAAAAGTTCATGAGCTACATAACACTCTGAACAGGAGTCTTTATCCTTGATCAGCTTTCTCCCCACTTCTGAAGACAAAAAACAACAACAACAAAAATCAATCTATCACTTCTCTACTGATGCCTAGTTCTGACCCCTCAACCTGAGGTTTCATAACACACCTGCAACACAGGAGAGCTCAAACACCAAACACTGCACTCAGTTGATTCCACTGTAGCCCTATGAGCCTTCTAGATCCTAACAGTAAACACAGCATTCAGCACCTCTGATTCTGAGTAAATATCCTAAAGGCAGGTCAGAAGGTGTTAAGTACAGCAGAGTGACAAAGGTCAGCGCTGAAGGAACACACAGCGTGAGGAATGAGTCCACAGAAGGCAGGGAACCATCCACCACATGCTGACGTGACCAAGTACAGAGATTATTTACAGCCTACTTTTACAACAAAAAAAGAGCAAGACTTGCTTGAGAATTTTGGCATTACATTTTTTTTGGACATTTTTTGGTTTTAGGTTTTGGCCTGAGCTAGTGAGCCAAATACACTTCCCTAACTACCAGCACTCAATCGTTTAGCACCTGGAAAGCAAACTTTGATATCCTTCACAATTGGCCAAGTCTTAAGATGTTTAGTTCCAGTCCTTTGCCCAACAAAGAGTGCCAGCTATGACGTAGCTGATGTGAGTGGTGCTCCTTGTCTCAACACAACTGCAAAATTGCTGCTTTACACCTCAGTACTTTGTCATTTAATAACATTCCTCAAAGTCAAACTGGCTGCCGTGATGGTTCATTTTGTGTGCTGAAGTTTCTAGCTCCTGCCAGGGAATGCAGTCTTAAAGATACTCAGCAGGATCCAGCTGCTGAAGACAATTCATCTTAATGCTTAAAATCTGCGTTTCTTACAAAAACAAAACTTGCATACGATTATAACACAGCACGAGCTCCAGGAGTAAAAATGTCTTCTATCTGGTATTTGCCAAAAGATTTTACAGCAAAAGGAATCTGCAGGAATTGGGAAACAAGAAAATAAAAGCTTTAGGACTGGACCGGCTCCTGCACCAGATCTCTGTCCAGTGACACAAGTATGACAATAACACCTCAGTAGGGCAAAGGATAGGATCCATATTCAGCACTGATCCAATCCAGGCAGGAACTACAGTAAATGAAGAACAGCTGCAACAAGGAAGAAAACCTATAAATGTTGTGTGGTCTTGCCCTTGAAGGCTCTCAGAGCAGAAAGCAGGCAACACAATCAGAGATACAGCTGGCATGGTCTCAGTTCCAGCCAACACAAGATAGCACGGTTTAAGAAACAGACGAGCTCTGCTGTTCACTATTAGCTTTACGTTCAAAAGGACTCAAACATAAAGAATTCTGTCGTTTTTTCCCCTCATACAAGACTTTGCTTGGTTCTGTGGGAGCTTTGAGTTTAACTAAAGCTCAAATGTTTTTGGTTTTTTTTTTTTTAATTTAAAAAGAAGTCCACATGTAAAAAGCCTGCAAATACCTTTATCCCCCTAACAGTGATCTGTCATTATTTTACTCAATTATTCCTACTAACCCAATAGCAGTCAACATTTTCCTCTCAAAGGCCTAAGCGCTTTCCTACTGACCAAAATGGAACTGGAATGGACCTGGAATACAGAAATACATGACCCTAGAAAAACCAACATCATACAGTTACTACACCTGGTATCTCACTACATGTGAAACCTCTCTTAGAAGTACCCTGTAAACACAACTGTTAGAGGAGTGGGCTGTGGGAACTGCTAAAGCACCTTCACTTGGACAATTAGTGTAAGGCAACACTCGGAATTTCTACTGCCTATGAGAATTGCTGCCTGCTTCCTACAGCAGCCATGCTTCTGACAGATCCTTCCACAGTTGGGAATGTTTACGTAGATGTGGGTTTTTTCTCACTTCAATCTCTTGCTGTCTTACAGATATTCCCAATCATTATTAATTCTCTACCCTCAGAAACACTGAGAGAACTTCTGTAACCCACTCTTAGGCAAGCACTTGATGACTCCAGCAGATTTACAGAAAGCTCTCTTTTCACTACTTACTAATAAACTCACCTACATGTAAGAATTCCCAAGATGAGATTTTTTTGGGAACAACTACATTTAAAAAGAAAAAAAAAAATCCTTTGCAGCATATCAATATAATGTCATCTCAGATTTGTAACATCTTTCAGCCCGAAGATGATTTTTCACTTGACAGAGATTCTTCTGTGGGACAGAGGCAGCAAAAGAGAAACTACCCATGCACCTCTGCTACACTGAGCTCTCAGTGCCTGCATGCTTTGTCAGGATCAGCTAGCTGGACTGGAGATGAGAATTCTCACTGAAACAGATGAGCCCATGCATCAAAATTATTACCTTGGGGGCACGGGGCTGAAGCTATATTCTCAAGTACTCAAAATGACACAAAATACTCAGTCAAACAGTTAAACCAGTTCTTTATTATTATCATTACTAAATAAAATAGTTTCTCAGGCATTCCACGCAAAGCTTTGCCCTTTTTCCTACCCTCAGAGGATGCACAGAGTATACCTAAAAGACAACCTCCTAGCCATAGGTAGCAGATTGCCTGACAGCAAAAACCATTATTTGTTATGCCTTACTTTTAGCCAGGATCCTAGTTTCTGAATTTAATGAGTTTGTGCAGAATCCTAGAAGTAGTCCAACATACTGAAAAAACATATTTAAAATAGAAAATCTTTACAAGCAGCCAAATGGAATACTTGAGACAAAACAACAACAACAAAAAAAAGATCATTAAAGAAGCTGCAGAGGATTTACAGTCCTGTTTTGTTTGGATCTGTACAGTAGACCAGTCCATAAACAGAAACTTAAAAAAAAAAACCACCAACATTTGCTTTGTTTTATTGGAGAGTTGTGGGAATGCCAGTAACCAAGCAACATCACAAAGCTGGAGAACCCTGGTTAAGACAATCACTGATACCCTGATGAGCCAGGATACATACAGTGCCAAAAGGGAACTCAATTTTTACAGACTTCAGTGGCCATAAGAACACTGAGAAAAACATTCTGTACAGTTTGTGAACTCTACGGATCCCCCATACCTCTGTGTGAAAACCGCCAACTCTTGGCTGAGTTCTGCTGTCACTTCAAGTCCATTGTGGGTTTTACTTGCCAATTTTGTACACTGAGAGGCCAATCTGTAAGAGGAAGCTTTTCTGGCAGAGGTTGGAGAAGTCAAAAAAGAAAAAAAAAAAAAAAAAAAAAAAAAAAAAAAAAGAATTGCCTCAGTGTTGACAAGCTGAAAATAACCGCCACAGATTTATTAGAAAATTCAGCCCAGACTTGTCTAAATATACGTATGTTAGCTTACACAAAATAATCTTAGAATTAATTCTAAGAGAAGATCAGGAAAAAAAAAAGCAACCGCTAAAAAAATAACAATGTCATTTTCTGGGCAGAAACTATCCTCCATTCATTTCCAGTAAATCAAAACAATTAAGAATTTTACAGCTCATAGATTAATGACAGCTGGAATATCTCATTTCCAATTAACGTGCAATCACCACTGTTTTCAAACTGGCACGTCCTCCACGTAATCTGTCTTCAGCCTCCTAACAGAAGGACAGAAGCTGTACTTCATACTTTGCACGCAGAAAATAAATTAGTCACACTGTCTCTATCTAATATTTTTTCCCAGCACTTTTATAAAGGAATTGGTTTTCAGTGAACAAAAACAAAATAGACATTTTCTTAGTGATGCCACCCATGTATATACATTTCTAGACAGTCACAGTCTGACAAAGAAAGAAGTATTTTCATGACACTTTTCAAAAGAAATTGATGAATTGCTTATCTAAATAAACAGCAGACAGAAAACATCTGAACGGACCTGCTTTTAATTGAGTGAAGTGCGATTTTAGGAGAAGAAAACGGTACCTACTGAACATAATCAGTGGGTGGTGGGTAATGCATCAAGGCTGTGGATGCTGAGTTCACAATGCAGTTCAGCAGACAGCAACCGGGAGCTAGCACCACATCACACCCTGAGAGCACCTATTCAGCCCAGGAGCTAATGGGATCTTCCCTTCTTCCAGGAAGAACGAGGGCCAAGAACTCCCAGCCAGTTGCTTCACACTTCTCTTCCTCTCCAGGTACATCGCAGTTGGACAGGTAAATACAATGGGAAAGGCATTACAACACAGGTGTGACGATAGAAGGACTGGCACAATAGAGAGATACTACAAAGGAAGGGAAAAAGATCGCTCACCTGTATCAGAAGATTCCAGGTTTGCAGGGGAAAGCATCACCAAGGAGAGATCTCCAACCAGAGATCCTTCCCCAGTGGCAGTCAGCCCTTAAAAGGAGTCTAAGAGAGGTGCAGCCAGGCTCCTCCCCTTCCTGTCACACAGCTGAATTGCCTTCACCCGTGCTCCCAGGGCTGAGCAGGTCCTTTCCCCTGGTGCTCATCTGGGGCCACGATACAAGAGCTCCCATACAAGGTACAAGAGCAGAAAAGAGCCACAGAGCACATGCTCTGGACTGTATATTTCAAAGTGCTTGGGATGAAGCATACTCTAACACAGAAGTCAAATCTTTACCTCCCTCCATGTTTAATGGGAAAATACCCTTATGTTGTTGCACACAAACTCTTAAGAACGAAATCATAATGAAGATGTCTAATGAAATCAATTTACAAATACAAACATAGCTCAAGACTTAGAAGTTTTAATAGGATGGAGGAGCAAATTACCCAGGGAACCTTGGTTAGATTCAGTCATGACATAATGAGATCCCATTCCCATGTGGAATCTCACATCACAGAGGAAAGCATGCATACTTCTCTCATAGTACCCCCAAAAAAGAATCCACAAAGCACTAATTTATATGTCAAAGCAGACACTTCATGGCGATGACATATGAATAACAAAATAACCCCCAAAGATTTGGGGCAAGCTTCTCATACAGGCGCTTATTGCTTCTCTAACTATTTAAAGCTCAACTAGGGCTCCAGATAAAATGTTTGTGTCAATCTTGCATCAAAGATGATTTTTTGCCAAGTTATTTTTGATGCATTACAAACATTTTTTGTGAAAGAAGCATTTTACATGGGATGCAGTTGGAAAAGGAACAATTGTTTTAATCCCCCATGTTTAAATATGATAGCAGATGAAGGCAAAACTGTTGTTCTTTATTGTGTTAAGCTTTCTTTTAAAAAGAAAACCAACCCTGGCTCCCAGCAGTCAAACTTAGTACTTCCAAAAAAACCTCGAAGTGCAGACTTTTGGTCAAAACTGATCAGTTGCTCCCCACCCTTGAAAACAAATACACTCTAAATGCAAGAGAGAAACATGAGCTATGGAAGAGTGTGGTACATAACACTGGGCTTCAAAGGAACAAATGTGAAGCTACTGATAGGTCTTCCTTCAGCACTGAAGCCTTATGGTTAAGTATTAGAAATCTAAAGGAGACAATGAAGTTTTAGGTATATCTGAATATATTAATATACATAGTTATCTGTATATATTTGTCATATTAAAAAAAAAAGTCAGCACACTTAACAGGAAGGCTCCTAAAGCATACTGCTTGCCAGCTGGCAACAGTTCCAGTAGTTTTGCCGTGCCATCTACAGAGCTGCCTAAAGAAACACACGTCTTCAAGTGCCTTGCTCTCATGCATGACCTTAGAGTTCAAGATATCAAAATGAGTCACCCACATTAGGACTTCTGGCACTCCAAGAAATGGCCTATGAGTCTATGATGCCATTTGGCCACTGCCCTCTACAACATCGCTTCTGAAAAGCAGGACTCTAAATTCCCTGGCAGTACTTTGAGGAAACAGAGCCTGATAGGCAGAGCTGAGCTTGGACTAAGCACCGCACTGGGATACAAAATATCCTGGCTTTCTTTGTCTTTAGTAACAGTAATCTGTAGGTTTGTCTTTTTTCTAATTCACAGCACATTTAATCAGTCTCAGCTAGAGTCTAAAAAGAAGATACTATTTTCAACTTCAAGACAGTACAACTAAAATAGTGAATGTTTCGACAGTGTGATATTCAGTGTAATTGCATCTACATTACTTTGTTCCTTTGATGTGATTCAACGCAGTAATAACTAACCTTTTACAGTTTAATATTGCAACCACAAAACAATCCCTCTTCCACTTAACAAACCACTTGCAATACCTTCATTAATCTGGTTTCACTCTTCAGCAACTCCCATTTAAAAGCATTGAAAGCTACCATTCACTTGCAGTCTGATCTTCACAGAACCTGACTGCATACAATTCCAATTAAAACTTTCTGTAGTTATTACCTCCAAAAACCCAGCACGAGGATGGCAATTAGAAGTTTCCCACCTTTCCCCATCTGTAGGATAAATTGCAAAGTATATGATTAGGGCCAGATAGAACGTAACTTAAGGAAATTGTGTTAAAATGCTAACATGGGAATATCAGCTCCTCCCATTAGCCAAGAGAAAGGTAAGCTCATCATTCTTTGTCAATGAATGGCAGTATAATGGATGAATTTACATCCACGACCATCTGTTGCGAGATCAGGCAACAGCAGAGTGACTTTCCAGAATGCCCAACTGTCTGCCCTAGCTCAGAATTTCCTTATTTTTGTAAACTTTCGTAAGCTTATTTTGTTACAAAATAAACTAAAATGCTTCACAGTATCGAGCACTTTTCATCTCAACTGGCTCTGTGGACTGTGAGCAGGGTCAGAGCTGCCTGGAATTTCAGGACTGTGCACTACAGGAGCACCTCAGCACTCACTCCAGTGAAAGGCAGCAGGCTGCTCCACAGCTGCTTCCCATGAGGTATTCCCACACAGAGCCAAACTTCCATTCACATCAGAAGTGCTGCAAAACTGCTAACATAGCTAAAGAGCTGACAGAGCCTTAGAGGGAAATATCCCTTCCTCAGGAACTGAGCTACAGAGGACCAAGATCTTTCAGACACACAAAGGGTTTATACCTCCAAGAGGAAAAAACTGCGAGGTCACATGCCGTGTGGTGATGCAGACTCAATGTCACATCAGTGACACTCCAATGGTTAGAGTCACCTTGTACCAAAAATAGCAGTACAATGAGAGCAGAATTACAATATATAGAAATTAATAGAATAATAAATAGAAATATTAAAAAGATCATAAGACAAGATGCAGAATTAACAACAGTATCACAAAAGTACAACTTCACTGCTGATTTCCTGCATGAAGCATTTGACAGATAACATAGGACGCTATCCACAGCCCTTTTTCACACACAGATAAATACCAGAGAATTGAAGTTCTGCTATAAAGCTCAGTGTCCGCTCAGCAAAAGGCTTCCTCCAACACACCCAGCCCTGATCTTGTATTACCACCACACAAAAGACGCTTTTGCTGTAATCCCCCACTATTACCACCTCACAAGCACCCATTCCCACAGGAGAACCTCAAAAACCACAGATGAGAACCTGGTGCCCTCTGGCTGACAGTGCTCCTTCCAGCCCCCAGGAGCTTCCACTCTCATTACAGATCTTTCCAACCACAGCCACAGCAGCTGCTCTAGTTCATTTGTATTTGCCTCACTTTGTGGACACCCAGGAAAGTGTACCAAGCTGAAGAACAGTCAGCCATAAGATGCACCTGATATTAGAGCCCATCTTCCAAACGCTTTCTGCTCATCTTGCCTTCACACTCCTCTCTGTTAGCCTCTCTGGCTACCTCTCTGTTAGCCTGATGCATCATGCCACCCTTTCTAGCTTCTGCCATGCTTACGTAAAATGTAACTTGGCTGCGGAGGAGAAAGCTCTCAAATTCTTTAGGGACTTTCATGAGAAATAGATTCCCTTTTCCCAGTGCAGTAGCAAAGCAGCTACACGGAAAGCCACAGGAGTTGTGAAAGAATTTCCATCTAAGTGCTGTGCAATAACTCTGCTTCCATGCTATCACTCTCCTCATCAGCTCCAGAGTAAGGAATGTGTGCTCTGATCCTAATACTGAAGCACAAATTCACGCCAACAGCTTAAACTAGCCAGCTCAAAACAATTTACAGTCAGCAGTAAGTTATTACTGGAAAGCAGCATTACAAAAAGGCAACACTTTATTCAGACCAAGTCTGAAAGTTCTAAATCAAATCCCATACAGACTAGCATGAATGCATAAGGCAGTTGTTCCCTCCGTCAACACAGTGTGGCAATTCCTGCAGCGATGGCATTTTGACACTTGCAGGTTCTTCCATGGCTACTACAAACCACAGTCACTGAACACAGTCCCACTTGGTCTGAGTGCCACATACCCAGACTGCCATGTAAGGCTTTTGGTACATTTAATTAGGCACCAACCATCACACAAGAAATTCATTTAAACATTAGAAGTAAATAGCTTAAGAGAAATAGAAGGCATACGTGGGAAATATACATAAACCAGTACAGTCTGAAAAACGTTATTTACATGTTACGAAGAAGTAATTCAGTCTGAAGTGACCATCTGAACATATGTTTGAGAGTCACCTGAAGCCCAAATGCTCCTTATTGGCACATGCACCCAACCTCGGAAGATCTCAAGTCCCAGTGTCCTACAAAATCAGCTGTAATAAAACTCAAGAAGAATTACCATCACTGAGAAACATCTTATGGCGCTGTATAATCAATGGATATATGGATATTATAATTAAGAAATATACAAGAAAGTTAGGCTAAACAGGTTATCATGCTAAAGAAGAACAGATAGAAAGCTTACCCTTGTCCTGGGCTCGCTGAGAAGACACCAAGAGGAGCAATCTCCAAAAAGAGATCCTTCCCCAGTGGCAGTCAGCTCCTGAATGGGGAGCAAGGCTCCACCCCTTCCAGTAGCACAGGTGAACTGCCTTCACCTGTGCTCCCAGGGCTGACTCACTGCTCACCTCAGGTGGTCAATCAGAGGTTCAGGCTGTGATTCAACAGTTCCCATACAAGCACAAATACTATCTTTTCATGTTGTTCCAGGCAACACCGTGAATTCTTGCACAGACTTCGCACAAGGGTGGGGCAATGGCCACCTGCCTACCTACCCTGAAGCAAAGGGTGTTTATTCTGAAGCACTGTCAGGCAGGCAGGCCTCACCAGCACCAAAGGATAACAGCTCAGTGAGACTGCACTGCTGACACGACAGTTGTAGCAGCTCCCTTAATGCGAACTCAGAACATAGCCGTGACTTTACAGGACAGTCACACCTTCAGGAAATCATGTTCGCTGTCCGCTCAGCCAT